CTGTGGACCCCCCCCTGTGTAGACTCCATCTCTGTAGACGGCCTTGTAGACCCCGCTCTGTAGACACCCCATCTGTAGACCCCCTCTCTGTAGACCCTCTCTGTAGACCCCTGCTTCTGTATACCCCCTTTGTACACCCCCCATCTGTAGACCCCCCTCTGAGGACCCCAGGGCCATCCCTCTCTAGACCCACCCCCGCTATGCAGCCTTCCCCACCTCCTCCCTCCTCTTTTCGCTCTCCGTTTCCCGTTTCCACTATTCCCCAGACACGAGGTCTTGACCACTGAGACCTGTGCTACCCCCGATCTCTGTGGAAACGTTGCTTGTGGTCCTCCCCGGGGGCCCGACGTGGGGCCCCCGCCACTGCCGGACGCTGCTCGGAATACTGGCTGGTGGCCCGGGCTGGTGAAAGCACAGCGCTTCGCGTCCCAGCGCACAGCCAGAGGGGAAAGGGGGAGGGCGGGTGGGCAAGGGTGGGCGGGCCGACGGGGTGAACACGGAGAGGCATCATAGCCAGTCCACAACCAATCGAGGCATCAAAGCGTCGAACCATCAGCATTCCACGCTGATCCACTCACGCATCACTCACTCATTCACTCACATATACAATGCTGACGGACGGGTCGGGTCTCACGGGGGGGTCGGGCGGGCGGGTCGGGCCGGGTCACAGCGGGCGGGCCCTGACGGGAGGGTCGGGTCGGGCGGGTTGGGTCGGGTCGGGTCGGGTCGGGTCGGGCGGGTCGGGTCGGGTAGGATTGGGAGGGCCCTAGTCGGGTCGCGCGGGCCGGGTCGGGCAAGGCCAGGCGAGCCCCGACGGGCGGGTCGGGTCGAGCGGGTCGGGTCGGGAGGCCCTAACGGGCGAGTCTGGTCGGGCGGGTCGGGTCTGGTCGAGTCGGGCGGGTCGGATCGGGTCGGGTCATGTCTGGTCGGGCGGGCCCTGACGGGCGGGTCGGGTCGGGCGGGTCGGGTCGGGTCGGGTCGGGCCCAGTGGGCCCTGAAAGGCGGGTCGGATCGGGTGGGGTCGGGCGGGTCGGGTCGGGCCGGGCGGGCCCTAACGGGCTGGTCGAGTCGAGCGGAGCGAGTCGGGTCGGGCCGGCTCTAACGCGCGGGTCGGGCAGATCGGGTAGGCCTAAGGTAGGGTCAGGGCATGCCTCGGGGTAGACCCGAGGGTAGGCCTAGGGTAGGCCTAGGAGTAGGCCCTAGGGTAGGCCTAGGGCAAGCCTAGGGGTAGGCCCAAGGGTAAGCCTAGGGAAGGCCTAGATGTAAGCCCTAGGGCAGGCCGAGGGTAGGCCTAGGAAAAGGCCCTAGGGTTGGCCTAGGGTGTGGGTAGGCCTTGGGGAGGCTTATGGGTAGGCCCTAGGGACGGCCTAGGGTAGGCCTTACCTGGGCGATATATGTGCGAAAACGAGGAGCGAGGATAAGAAGCGAGGACGAGGATAAGGAGCGAGGACGAGGAGGAGGACGAGGAAGAGGAGGAGGAGGAGGAGGATATGGATATGGATATGGCTCTAACGCGGTGCGTATGAAAGAAAAGGAAAGGACTCCTCAGGAGCGTTTCACACGCTTGGAGGGATACTTGGGACATTGCCCTTCCTCCACTCTGCGAAGATAAGCCGCCCCAGTGGGGGTGAGGGTGCCGAGGCAAGACTGGGCCAAGGAGGCCCGAAGCTGCTCGACACCGAAACTCCCACAGGAACTACAAATCCACACATTATTCTTGGCTTGATAAACCATTTTGTGAGTCTCGTGAACCCAGCCCCCCCCGATATGCACCGAGCGTCCCCTCGGCACCTGGAAAAGGGCGGAGTCGACAGACTGCAAATTATAGCACTGATTCCTGCGCCACGGCGTGGCAGCTGCTGCCGAAGCCGAGCTCCGACAAACTAGGCAGGCACGGCCACTCTCGGACAAGGTGTGCTCGGACTCGAACACGGACACAACACTGGGCGCTGGCGGCCTGGGTGCCTTGGTCTGATCACGAGCACGAGGAGCGGACGGGGACGCGGCCATGGCCTCGAGAGTGGATCGGAGCAACCTTTTTCGGACGAGCCCTGCTTCCAACTCAATCTTCCCAATTCTTGTCCTGGTATGCTGGTTGACACGCACCATACTGGCAGCAACTCCAGCAAGAGTGTCAGCAACTTGGTTCCCGATGAACATCCACATCGGCAACTTGGAATCAACATGTTGCTCAGCCTCGAGGTGAGAGGGAACCTGCAAAA